TACTTTTCTAAGGGTTTAGCTCTCTGTAAACTCGAAATATTTTACATAAACTTTTTTTAGAATAGTATCATTTACTGAAGGATAAAAATGGCAACAGTGTAGAAAAATTCACAGAAAAAATATTGTCTAAAGGACATATTTTGTTAATCTGTTAGGTTGTGTTTTTGTTTCCAGGAACAAATTAAATTTGTATGATTGTCTAAAAAAGAGTCTCAATTTACAGATGCTAACTCTATATAAAGGAATGTGGAAAAAATTCAGCTCTTAAGTTACAAGATTAAACATTCACATTTGGTTTTTGAAAAACAATTGACCGACATGTATGAATTTACTTGTATCATGCTCATAAGCAGTAAGTGTGTGTGTATTTTCCCAGCTAGTTTTGCTTTCTTTTTCTGGAACAAAACAGTAAGTGATTGAAGAGTTTTCCAAGTGATAGAAAAAGTTTTGCAAGAAAAACCAGGAAACTTTCTTCTTTTCCCCACCATTCATTTTCATTTGTCAATTTATTTCATGAAGCTTAGCTGGCCTCACAGAAGACACAGCCTTCTACTTTGTTAACTGGCTAATTAAAATACACTAGGAAAATCCTTGTTGCGAGAAACAACTTAGTCATCCAAAAGCAAGTGAAACCAAAATGTCAGAGGGATTACTGTACTTTGGAGTATGTCGTATGTCCCAAATGTGAGCAAGGTAATTTTATAATTTATTAGATCAACTTCTTTGGAGATGAAAGATTGGAAATCCTAGTGGCAGATATTCATTGGACTAGCTTTGGACTGAAATGCTCCCTTGTAATTCTTTTCCTATTATCATTTCCCTCTAGTGTCCCAAAATATTTTCTTTAAAGTGAGCGTGGTATTGTATATGAATCTTTAATGTGGTATCATATATGTCTACCATTTGTCTTTTTCATTAATGTATTATGTGTTTATTCTAGAGTATTTTAGCTCCAGGCTCTATTGCCCCTTCAGCCAGTACATGCCAAATTATAAATGAATCCTGCTGGCCTTTAA